ATGAGTATTCAAACCACACCAGTCTGCAATCTAGTTTTGTGTTTTTGTTGCAGAGGCTGTTACTCTGAAGTTAAGACCTTAAGTGTGATTTGCCACAGTAGAGCTGCCTGGTAGGTAAAGAGCAGAAATAAACATGAGTATGACCTATGAGTCCAGTCAGCGTCCATTATGAGAATGCTTATTATGTCTCTCACTGTTGTTGTTGTGTTTGTTAATTGCTGAGAGAAACAAACTGAAGACAAGATTTGCCTTTTTACTGTAGAGTCAAAGTGAAGAAGTGGCTCTGAAGTCCGTCATCTCCTTATTTGTATGTGTGTGTTTGTGCATTGTCTTTGTGTATCTACTTCATACTCCGCAGGCGTATTGCTGACGAGGAAGTACAGTGTCTGTTTTTAGCTTCCTTGTGAAGTTCTCAGTTAAATTTTACTAACTTTTAGCTGAGTTAGTGGTCTGTGAGTTATTAGGAAAAATCCAAGCAAAGCTTAAACAAAAGCAAAGCATAAAGAAAAACTTATTCATGGCTTCATCCTTTCTAGACTGGATTACTGCAATTCTGCACATCTTTTAACAGGTGCTAGAACATATGAACAAATCACTCCAGTTTTTGCAAATTTTTGAGATTTGATGAGATTTTAAGATTCTTGGTATGGCACTCAGTTATTTAAGCAAACTCCTCAACATGTATAACTCCAAATGAGCACTGAGATCGTCTCGCCAGATGCTCTTAGTACAACTGAGGTCTCGATTGAATCATAGAGGAGATCGGGCCTTCGCAGTTGCAGCGCCTAGACTCTGGAATAACTTGCCAGATGATATTCGTACTTCAGAGTCTTTCAGTCTTTCAAATCGTGTCTTAAAACTCACTTTTTTACGTTGGCTTTTAATTCAAGTTCACTTTGAGTACCATCAGACTTTTTTTGTTACGTTTGTTTTGTTTTTATGTTGCACGTTGTCATTGCCTCATCTCAATTATCTGTATTTGTTTTTCTATTGCTTTCTCATGTTCTTAACTAATTGTGAAGAACTTTGGTCAATGCTGTTGCATTTAAATGTGCTATAGAAATAAAATTGATTTGATATTTTAGTATCAATGAACACTGAATGAGATAAAAAGTAGCAGAAAAAACATCCCCAACTGTATAGCTGAGCTAGAAAGCCTGTGCCAGGCTATAAACATTTAAACAACACTCAAACACCTTAATGCTTAATGTTTCAGTAGGTAGCTGCTCATAGATATATACACATCTATGTATATTAACATTAAAATTGTTTGTGTGTGTAGCACTTGGCACCTTTTGTGATGGTAAAAAATTATGAGTTGGTTCATTACATTTTGAGTTAAATATACTTTCTATCCAACAAATTTAAAAAGCAAAGGAACTTTACACACGTTTTTTTAGGGTTAGTAATAATACTTTATCATATTAAATAATAATAATAATAATAATAATAATAATAATAATACTTAAGTAATGTTCTTGGCAAAGTATTTGATAAAGTTAAAAAAAATTACCACAGCTTTGTTCAAACAGATTTACAACCATGTAAGAAGTTTCTCCATTTTTTGGATTACCAGGTAACTAAAAGTAAATATGCACAGTGCCCTAAACCAACAAAGTTATTTACTAACACAGTGTAGTAAATAATTGCACAACAAAGAATCCCTGTGTGCCCTGATTCCCCTTCTGTGTCTCCGCTCCCGTGATACTCGTGCTCACTGCCTTCTCGTTCCCGCACTCCTGCTGGAAAATCCACAGAGGCAGCTGTTAGCGCACATCTAAATATCAACAGACTAACACTCACTGATTATGCTGAAAACACTGACGGGTGGTCACACAACAACCCAGCGTCGAGGAGAACTCAGCCACACTTCTATGTACCTCTGTCGACAATCCTGATCAGCTGCAGGTGTGTGTGATCATCCTCCTCAGGTGTGGCCAACCTCCCAACGGGACACACCCACCAGGCCTGATGGTGCCTGAAAACCAGACCTCCGGAACACACACACAAACACCTATACACACAAACCTGAAAACCAGGGACACAAGCCACAAACCAGCAAATATAAAAACAAGTCCAAACTGCTCATCGACCCTGGGTCACTCAGACCGAGGTCCTTGACAATTTGTATTCCAGACATTCAGACCTGTACTGTACCCTGATATGGATGACTAGGAAGTATTTCAAGATTTATTAATAAATAAAATTAATTGAATAAAATACGTTTTAGAAAATTCATTTCCAAGTTTTCTTTTTTAGTTTATTATACATTTATTATACTTAATGACTTTAGACTGTGATAATTATAGATAATTATAATCTGCTAAACACATCTGCAATTCTAGACCTCGACCACAGAGCAGAGGTGTCAGAAAAAAAAGTCTTATTATCTAGTTATTTTAAGTTCCAGATGATCAGCATACCATTTCTGTTTATCCAGTTTATTAATCAGCATTTGAACAAATGAGGGTCAAAGAAACATTTAAAAAACAGTCTCAAGGGTCTCAAAAATAAAGCTGTAAATAAAAATCTGTAAAACTTGTCATGACTGACCCCCTAAATCAGGGGTGTCAAACTCAAATACACAGTGGGCCAAAATTCAAAACTGAAACAAAGTCGCGGGCTAACGTGAATATTTATTGAAATATATTTATTCCTCCAAATATAAGAATGAATCTTTTCTTATGGACTCAAACACGTTTTGCTGAAAAACTGAATATGGAACAAGCAAAGCTTAATACTAAACAATATATATATTAGCTGTATAATACCAGTAGGCCAGCTCTAATAGTAATTTGGTATGGCTTCACGGGCCAAATGTAATTAGGCTGCAGGCCAAATTTGGCCCGCGGGCCAGAGTTTGACACCTATGCCCTAAATGGTTGTTTTGACAGTATTCACATTTCTTTAGTGTTTTTGATCAACATTTTAATATAAGTTGGGGGATTTCTGGTACAGCATCAAATTTATTAGAAAATACAACTAATTAAGCCATTAATAAATTAAATAGAGTATTTTTAAAAATTAAAAATTTCCTAAACTTAAAAAACTCCAGTCGCCTCTACCACGACCTGTGTGACTCAGAACCTACACAGATATTTCCAGTGAGGTCATTTCCTCAACTGTTTCTGTTCAGACATTTCTGGAGAGAAGAATGAGAAACATCATGAATGAAGATGACAAGTTGTGGATCAGATCAGATATTTGTGGGTGGATGGTTCAGGACTGTGTAAAAGGCTTGATTGTTGAGAAACCTTTAGGTTGTGCCAAATTTGTGAAACAACTATTTTAACAACGCCCTAAAATATCACCTCATCTCATGGGCAGTTCCTCATTTTGTTCTGTTTTAATACATTTTATTTTTATCTTCCTTTTAACCGCCTGCAAATGTGATACAACTCATAAAACTGTTGTTGCATTTGTATGCAAGAGATCAGCACAATGTACCACAGGGACAGATATTTCAATAATAAAAAAGAAACCTTCCTTCAGTTATAAAAACAGCAGTTATTCTGACAGGAGGAGCCAGACTGTAGATGAAGCCTCCTCCCTCCTCTTTAGGAACAGACCAACAGGGCTTTTTAAGCTGTAAAACAGAAGCCACAGTGAGTAAGGAAGCAATTAAATTAAGCATCAAAGCTTAGCTACATTTAGTTTCTGTTAAATGTATAAAGAATTGAATCTATGATAAATAATAAAGGAAACATAATTTCAACATTTTGTTGTGTTTTGTGATTCAGAGACTGTTGGATTACGTCTGAAGTCAGGATCTTGAAGTTTCAGCATGATGAGTCGTCCGCAGAGCTTCATAGACGGTAAGAACATTAATGTGGTGGTAAGACAACAGGAAGGTGACGGAGCTTCAGTCACATCTGAGTGATCATCATCAGACTTTTGATTAAAGTTATGATGTTTGTGCTGGAACAGAACAACATTATATGTATATGACTTAAAAATATGTAGAGCCCACATTCATTGTCTAATCATATCAATTATTTTTCTTTATTTATTGCATAAATCAGAAATGTAACAGTCAAAAGTAATTGATGAAGAAAGAATGTTTAAAAGCAAAATGAAGATGTGAAGAGCAAAAACAAAAACAGGAACTGACCAAAAGGATGTGTGACATGTTAACATGTTTTAACTCAAGTGTTTCCTGTTCAAAGCATCTAAATCATCTTTAATGTTCTTGTATTGACACTCACTACAGTTCAGTGTACTTTAATAGTACTAAAGTATTGTAGCATGACAAACTGTTTAAACTGTTGTAACTGATAAATACACATTTTTCTGAACTCTCACATTGTGTCTCCTCTAAATGTTCATCAGGTGAAGCTCCTGACTCTCGGCATGAAAAATCAAACAGAGGGTCAAAGGTCACCACAGAGAGAGTGGCACTGGTGGTTCTCTGTATCCTGCTGGCAGCTGCTCTCATCATTATTTATCGTCTCTGTGAGTTTGTGTGTTTTCCTTCGTCTTACTTAACTTAAAAAAATCAATAATCTGATGAGAAAAATATTTACAGTGAAGGTGTAAAACACTGCAGATTGGCTCCGTTTTAATCATGTTGCAGCAAATTAAAGATGTGTCCAACTTTTCAGTGTTTTTCTTGTTTTCTGAAAAATCTGTCTGTTTCTCTCATTTTTAAATCAGCAGTAACTAAAGAAACACTGAAAACACAAAGCTACAAAAATCTTTTCAGTGTAAACAAACCTCACTGACTGACTGGTTTATTTGTTCTTTTTTAATCAGCATTTGACAAAATTAGAACGAACAACGAGCTCGAAAACCTGAAACATCACAAAATGAAGTGTGAAAGAAATCTGACAGGTAAGCATATACAGCTGATTGTTTCTAACCTTCAGTCTAAATCAAACTCATGACACACAGCTGAGTCTGTCTTTTTTATTCCATGTGAATGATTATTTGTTTTTAATTCAAACTTTAGATAAAAATAGATGATGAATGACTGATGACTGTTTTATTCTTTATTCTAACAGAGACTCTCTCTAAGATAAAACCATGCAGCACGGTGCAGCCGACCTGTCCAGTACCTAAAGTAATAGGTAAGTTATGGATTTTGTCTCTGAGACACAAACTTCAAGCTAAGTTCACACAAACATGAACAGTGATTTCTTCCACCTGACTGAAGTCGTTGCTGTAATCTCTTCAAAGATGATCCTTGTTATAAATGTGAAGAAGGCTGGGAGCAACATGGAGGAAAGTGCTATTACTTCTCCACCAGTAAATCATCCTGGGAACAGAGCAGAGATGAGTGTAGAGCTAAAAGAGGAGAGCTGGTTAAGATAGACAGCATAGAGGAGCAGGTATGAAACACTGCTGCAGGTTCATGTTCTTACATGTTATATCACATCTTTATGTTTCACCTTCTCAGCACAGAAAAGTCTAACAAAGTCATTTTCATCTTCTTTTTGTGATCAGAGGTTCCTGGAGAGAAAACTGAGAGATGTAATGACTGATTATGAGGACAAGTTCTGGATCGGACTGACAGACTCAGCAGTAGAGGGCAGATGGGTGTGGGTGGACAGATCACCACTGCATCAAAGGTTTGATTGTTGTGAAAATATATTTTATTCATTTCCAGAATTAAAGTTATCAGTTTTTACTAAACCAGTTATTTTTGTTCTTCAACTCTTAGTTTGACGTTTTGGAGCAACAATGAGCCAGACAATTGGAACGGGACACATGAAGAACATCCTGATGGAGAGGACTGTGCGAGGATGGGAGAAAAAGGCGGAGCTGATGATCTGAAGTGTTGGTTTGATGCATTTTGCTCAAAGCCTCACAGAAGTATTTGTGAGAAAGCAGGAGTAAGAGGAAAGTTTAAAAAAGTATGTGACTGAAATTCACATATGAAACACCAGGATGAAGTGATGCAATTATTAAAATAATGGCACAAACAGAAACAAAATGAACACAGTAAAATCAACATGAGTAATATTTTGCATCTGATACTTTTTAGTTTTGAAGCGATTAACACGAACAAGAAATGTGGGAGCACCTGTGAAATTCATTAATTTTTATAATAAAACAATAAATTATCCTGTTTTGTAAACTTAAAGCCATCTAGAAAGTTAAAACGTATTTTGGATACTGAGTCAATGAGTACATCATATAACAGAAGAACCTATGAATTATTTATTATCACTTTTACAGGAAAACGAAAGGAACGAAGAAAGAAAGACGTGAAGTGTTACAATGGAATAAGTAATTCACGTCAGTGTTATTAAAAATAGGAATGCAACATTTAACATCGATTCATCCAGTACAAGAAAAGGAGGCTGTGGTTCTCAGAGTTTTCAGTGTGAGAAGCTGTTTGTAAATGTGGTAAATGATACACATTTCTTAACTCTCACATCTGTGACTCCTGAAAAACCTCTGACTGTGTGGTGCTGCTGTTGTTTTTTTCTTTTTTCAAATGTGTGTTTGAATGACAAGAAATTAAATGAGCAACAGAACATTTGCTGTTGTTGTAAAATCCTGTCGGCTTCTTGTGTTAACCCACTTTTTTTTTGCGGGGGGAGGGGGCATCCAGGATCTGATGCAAAACCGGCGACAAATTATAAATCATTAGATATCATTACATATTATTAATAGATATTAATCAATTGATCAATTGTTAAAGAAGGATCTTAATTTTAAGATTTCAAGTGTATTTTTAATTTTAAGTGGAGTGCGATCCTAAGTTACACCACAAGAGGGCGCTTCCAGGTCTGGCACAAAGTTCTGCCCATAGACATTCAGACCTGTAGACAGAGGCGGAGCCAGACATTTGAAACACCCGGGGCTTAGCCCAAAAGGATAGTATGGGGGGGGGGGGGGGGGGGGGGGGGGTAGAAATGACTGAAAGATTAATTGGCTCTGTTTTGAGTTTTGTTCAAAAAAGAATGACTTCATATAGGGAAAAATATATATCACATATGCAGGACACCTTAAGCTAGTTTTTTAATTAAGCAGCAAGGCAGAACAAAATCAGGGCTGTATCAAGACACGAGGACTAAACCCCAATTCAACCAGACCCAGAACTGATCCGGAATTAAAACAGGACTCCAACAGTTCAAAATCAGGACTACTTGGGACTTAACCAAGACAGAACCAGAATCAGAACTAGATGATAGTAGCACTAAAAATCATCATAGACCTGCACTACACTTATTTTTTAATTTTACCAAAGTACAATATTTAGATTGAGAAAGGTTTATATAATTATTTAGCCTTGTTGTGCAAACAAGCCTTCATAACTTAATAAATATAGAATTTGAAAAATAACAAACCTAAAAAGAAACACTAGGTACGAGATACATGAGTACCTATGATACAGTGATACTTTTGGTAAACAACCATTTGACTAACATGTGTGTCTCACCTGCTCTTGTTCATCTCTGTTCTGTCCTCATTCTCCATCTCCCTCTCTGCTCCTCTCTCTCCCTCTCTGCTCCTCTCTCTCCCTCTCTGCTCCTCTCTCCCTCTTTGTGCTGACAATCATCAAATATACAGTTGAAACCACATATTTACTCTTCAGATAAAAACACAAACACTTTTTAATTGTAACATCAAATCAGACTAAATGTTTATTTTTTTAGATTGATAAATATAAAAAACATATTTGTTAACTTTAAGAGTAAAGAGAGAAATCGTCTGTATTTCTTAATTGTAAATGGCACCAAATTGTATTCAAAATTGAGCCACACTTATGGAGCTCCACAGTTCTTTTCCTGGTGTTTTGGTTGACATCTCTTGATTTTCCCATGTCACAGAAACAGGCTCTGTGTTTTGTCTTATATGCATCCACAGCTGTGCCACCAGTTTACTCACATGGACTCTACTAACCTATCAGAAGCTTCTTCAGCTCAGAATGGAATCGTCTGGAGTTTTCTTATTAATTAACAATAAACTTAGTGTACATGTACTCCTAAATTTGATGAAAGTGATAAAAAACAGAAAGCTCTGTCTCTCTTTATTGTGACATTTAACTAATTCAAAAGATATTTCAATATTTATCTAAAACAAAAGTTTACTCTAAATTGATGTTGTGCAGTAAAAATGTTTTATGTTTTCTCCCTAAAGTGTAAATATCTGGTTACAAATGTGAATATCCTGCTGTGTACTGAAATTCCTCTTGTTTTGCATACAAATATACTGAACAACATACAAAGCATAATATATAAAATAACATTTACCTGAGTTTTTCTTTGAAAGAACCCTCTAATGTCCATTCTTATATTTCAGTACATAACTGAAACCGATTTAGTCGGGGAGGGTAAGAACTGAAAATATGAAATAAACACACGTAAGCTAAGAATCTCTAAAAAAAAAATAGCATTTGTTCGGCTTTTCATTTCGCCATTTGTTGATTCACTTGAAGAGCAAGTAACGTAATATTGGTCAAGTGATCAGTTTGATATCAATCTTTCGTGATGCACCGTCATATTTACATTATTTGTACGGTACGAATGATTTGCTTTGGTACCTGGTCAAACTTAAGCTCTCCTTAGTATGGCTGGCTCCGTCTCTCCAACAGCGCACTCACGGGCAGCAGTTGCCCCGCCCCCTCGCTCAGTCGCTTAGTGCCTGAGCTTGGATCATACCAATATCAGGGGGGATTCACGCACAGTCGTAAATTCCCACAGTGTGCACTATGTGCTTCGAATATTGTGTGTACTTTTTGTTTTATACAGTTGTCAGCCAGACATCTATGAAAAAATTACACTCCAAAATACCCCGGGCTTCTGACAAAACAACCCGGGCTTAAGCCCAGTAAGCCACCCCCACGCTCCGCCCCTGCCTGTAGATACTGTACCTTTATACAGATGACTGGGAGATCATGCACATTAAAATAAAGCATTTTAAGATTTAATAATGAATAAAGATAAATGAATAAAATATGCTTCGGTAAATTCATTTGCAAATTACTTTAGTTTATTATACATTTATTATACTTCTTTAGTTTGAAATTACTTTGATTGTCTTTTATTCATTTATACATTAATAAATTAATTATTACTAATAAATTATTTGATAATTCAAATAGTGGCAAAAAACCCACTGTCTAATCTGCTAAACACATCTGTAATTCTAAACCTCGACCATAGAGAAGAGAGGACAGAAAAAATGTCTCATTATTTATTTATTTTAAGTTCCAGCTGATCATCGTATCACTTTTTTCCAATGCTGTTCTAAGATCTTTTTGTTTTATTATGTTGTAATTAACAAAATCTTTGTTTATTAAATTTATTAATCACCATTTGAACACATGAGACACAAAGAAACATTAAAACAATTGGAAGGTCTCAAAAATAAAGCTGTAAACAAAAAACTGTAAACTTGTACAGTATTCACATTTCTTTAGTGTTTTTGATCAACATTATAATATAAGTTGGGGAATTTCTGTTACAGCACCAAATTTATTAGAAAATACAACTTATTAAGTCATTGATAAATTAAATAGAGCATTTTTACATAATTTGAAAGAGTTTTGTTATTTTAATTTTGTTAAGTTTCTGTAACAAGAATCTTACTGAACTTCTAATAAAGCAGAGATTAATGTAGAGCTAAATGTTGAGCCGAACATGAACCAGCATGAGGGTTCATGTTCTTATGCATTAAATCACATTGTTATGTTTCATCATCTCAGCACAGAAAAATCCAACAAGGAGCTCGGGAAGAAAGAGACTGGAGTTTAAAAAATGTCCTAAATTTAACCTAAACTAAGCTTGCTTCTACCACGACCTGTGTGACTCAGAACCTACACAGATATTTCCAGTGAGGTCATTTCCTCAACTGTTTCTGTTCAGACATTTCTGGAGAGAAGAATGAGAAACATCATGAATGAAGATGACAAGTTGTGGATCAGACTGACAGACTCAGCAGTAGAGGGCAAAAAAATTCTTTGTACACATAGAAATCTTTTTTACACACACACACACACACACACACAAACACACACACACACACACACACACACACACACACACACACACACACACCTTTTCTACAAGTACAAAACCGATTTACAAGTACACAATATTTATGACCACATTTTGAGCCCATAGTTAGTGAGTCCTGAGTGATTCGCTACGATTGAGCACAGCAAGGGAGGGGGTGAGTAACTCAAATGTGCTGTTAGCATGTTAGCTGAGCGATGCTACTGTGAACTGAGGAGCTATTGTCTTGATGTGAGCTTCTACTCAGGGTTTTTTCTTCCAGTTCAGAGCAGAAATGCTTTTGTTAAGAATCTGTCTGTTGTTTCCCCCCACCCCCCCCCCACAATTTTAATTATAAGCTAGATATAGTTCTACTAATGGAATTAGTTTGCTAACAGCAACAGGGATGAGTCAGTGAGTCAGTCAGTAAAGTGATTCTCAAGTATTCGAACATCACTAGTCAGGGCCTACCGGGGGCATTCTGTGAGATGTTACAGTGAGGGTAACATGCAGACTGGCTCAGCCGCTTGTTTTGTTTACATATATAGATGTTTGTTTTGTTTTGAATTAAGTCAGTTGTTTATTTTCTATGTAAATAATCTTTTGTGCACCTGCATTTGTTTGGGAGAAGTTTAGGAGAGGACCCCGCCACACCCAATCACTTCCCCATAATTTGAACAGTAAACCACAAGATGTTATACAATTATTGTTTCTAAAAGCTTAAGCGAAGGGGCAAGGA